ACCATAGTCCTTGACTAGGACTCAGAATATTGAGAGCTACTTCACTTTCAGAAGCTGAGGTAGTCTCCCTGACCCCCATCTCCCCTGGCTAAAGTGGGGATGGTTGGGCTGGGAATGTGGCTCAATTGGTAGAGTGCTTGCCTAGTATGCACAAAGTCTTAGGTTTGATCTTCAGCATTGCATAAACCAGGTGTAGTAGTGTACACTTGCAGGTGAATCAGAAGTTCAAAGTCATCTTTGGCTACATAGGGAGTTTAAGGCCAGCCTGGGCTACATGAGACCCTGCCTCAACAAACTGACAGACAGACAAAACAAGTAAGGAAGGAAGGAAGGAAGGAAGGAAGGAAGGAAGGAAGGAAGGAAAAACGAAAGGAAAAAGGAGAGAAATAAAGCAAGCAGGGATAGTCATTCCTGCCAAGTTTGCTCAGCAGGCCCTTGTGAAAACCAAAGGAAAACTATGTGTGAGACTTTACAAATGGCAAACCCTGAAGAGATGAAGGAAACGTTTTGGGACATTTGTGACTGTGATGTCACTGGTCACATTCCCTTTCTTAACAGTCCCCAAGCCCTGTCCCTTTCTTAACCTGGGAATTCAATCATTTTCTTTGTTGGATTTTTGTTTTGTTTCTGTTTTTCTGAAACAGGGTCTTCCTGTAGCCCCAGTTGGTCTGGAACTAATTACATAGACCAAGCTGGCCACAATCTCACAGAAATCTACCTGCGTCTGCCCCCCTGAGTATTGGGATTTAAGGCATGTACCACCATGCCTGGCTACATTGTTTGTTTTTGTAAAAAATGATTAACTGAGAGAGAGAGAGGGGAGAGAGAGAGAGAGAGAGAGAGAGAGAGAGAGAGAGAGAGAGAAAGAGAAAGAGAAAGAGAGAAAAGACAACTTGCAGGAGTTTGTTCTTTCCTTCCACCATGTGGGTTCCAGAGATTGAACTCAGGTTGTCAGGCTGGTGGCAAGTACCTAAGCTGCTGAGCCATCTCGCTGGTCCTTAGTCATGATTGTAACCTCTCTGGACCTCATTCCCAGTATCTGTAAAGTAGAGCTAGTCACTTTGCCAAGTACAAAGGGCTGATAGTTGACATGGGGCCAACTAAGATGCCTCATGAGCTGTTATCTTCATCATGGCTTGACATTGATTTAGAGACTCATTCATGTGTTATCTAGGGAAGGAGGCAAGATTAGCCCTGCTTACACATGTGCAAACAGGCTCTGGCTGGCTCTCAGTGACTTGCCCAAAAAATCCCATTGAGGAACAGGTACAGTTCTGTTCAAACGGATATATCTATTTCAGGCCAAACAGTCTCAAACAACAGACCCACTGTCACAGTCAGTATGGCACCAGCCTGCACCATGTGCAAACATTTTGCATGCATCATCTATGACTACAGTGGTAAGAATCGGGGTGAGCAGCTAGACCTTGCAGCTAAGGAAGCTAAGGTAGAAAGACATGAAGTCACTTGCCCATGTCACGCAGCTGGATTCCAACAGTTGCTTTAACCCTGACTGCTGCTGTTGTAGGTCACAAGGTTCCAAACAGGCTTGGCAGGTCATGATGCCCAACCACGATTCACATCAGAAAGTACCCCAAGATCAAGATCCCTTTGAGAACCCACCCTCACCCCTGGTCTTCACTCCAGCTTCCGGTATAATTTCTGCCTTCCAAGACCCCAAATCCCAAGGCTTTGACCATGTTCCCAATGCATGATAAGTACCCTGTGCCTGCATTCTGAGATGCTGAGAAAGGCTTTCTGTGCCAAAAGCCCCTCTTGCTTCAAGAGGAATGCAAGGATGCCTGGGATGGAATTCTTGACCCTGTGGAAAAGTGTCATGTACATGTGAGGGATTAAGATTTAATTAATTAATTTTATCAATTAAACCATTGGAATGTCCCCGATACATGGGAAGATTCAGAGAGTGAGTTCACAAGGGTGGGCATCAGTGGAAGTGCTTTAGTGCCAAGTCCCTGCCAGGAGCCCAGGCTTAGGCTACCCCTGCTGGCCACTCAGGACCTTACATCAGTAGAGCCTGTCCCTCCAATGGAAGAGCCTTACTTTGACTCTTCTGCAGCACTCTCTCTACTCCATTCCCACCTCAGTCATACCCTGTGGCTGTTGAACCTCAGCTCTCTTGGTGCTGCATATGGAAAGACAAGGGGGGAAGGAGCAGTTATTTCCTAGGTAATTTTTGTGTGCTAGGCCCTGGCAAGGGCTCCTAAGCAAAGCCAGTCTTATATTCTGGATGAAGAAAAAAGCTTAAGTGACTCATGACTGATTCAAGTCATGTTGCTGTAAAAGGACAGATCCAGGATTGGAACCTAGGGCTGCCTGACTCCAAAGCCATGCTGGTATCATGCATTCTCAGCCAAGGGTACTGCTCAGGGGTAGAGCACTCGCTTAGCATGCTCAAAGCCAAGTTTGAGCTAGGAATGTAGCTCAATGATGGAACAATTTCCTGGCATGCACAATGTCCTGAATTCAATTCCTAGCATCCTTAGAAACAAAGATACAGTCTCTAGTTTCACCTCTCCTTGCCCCCAGCCTCCTGGGAGGGGCCAGAGGTGAGCCTGCCTGTTTTGGAAATCTATCCTCTAGACAGTACCAGTGAGAGGGTAGCCTCAGCGCCAGGCCAACAGAAGCAGCAGAAGCTCCTGAATGAAGGGCCCTGAACACACTCAGATGAGTCCCCATTTGGAGCCATCCCTCTCTATTGATAGACACCAGCAGCTACCTGGGGGAGTCTTTCTGGTCCCTGCTTTGAGTGTGGTCAGGAATTTAAGAGTCTTCCTTACATCCATCCTGCAGACCCCCCAAAATGAAGATGTGACCAAACCAATTGCCCCTGACTCCCCAAAGAGGGAATTTAAAACAGTGTAACCTCTATGTCTTACTTGGTAGAGATGGTAGTGATGGCTTGCATCAGATGCATTCAGGAGGGCTTTGAGTCTCTTTGTCTAGGACTGGTGTTGAGTGTATTCAAGTAAGGGGTAGAGAGAGGTCTAAGAAGGCCAGAACCTTCTGTCTCCATTGCTCAGAAGGACTGCAGCTTGGCCCAGGGTCCCCAGGCCCAGACAGGCTTCCTCCATGGGCCCCACCATTCCTGCTCTCTCAGGACAGCTGTCCTCTTGAGCACCAACACGTCCTCAGCAAACATTCTAATGAAGGACCCATGTAGCCCTTGGACCAGATCAATTGCCACTCTGGGGACCTCAGAAGGAGCTAAGGTGGCATAGTTGGCAAGAGAGATCTCTGTAGAGGGCAAGAGAAAGGAAGGAAGGTGCATAGTCTAATACACAGCAAACTGGGAGTGCTCCCTGGATTCCCATGGCCCCTGCTTGCCACCTGCCACTGGGACCTTCTCCCAGAGTTGGTGCCCAGAGGTCCAAGCTCTCTAGAAAGGAGCAGCAATGCCTTTTCCTTGGGGCATCTCAGAGCCTGACTTAACAGGCTTGAATCCTGACTGCTCCTTTCTAGCTCTGAGGAGCTGATCAAGTTGCTTAATCTCTCTACTGTTTCCCCCTGTGCAAAAAAGGTATGATAGCAATGCTTCCTATATCATCGCATTGGTAAGAGGATTAAATGAGTAAATACAACATATTTAATGCATGTTGGGTCCCTGTTATATATAAATTAACATAGTAAATATAAATTAGTCAATCACTCCACCTACAACTTGTTCCTAAGTGGGGAATCACACCTTAGCCTAGGCACTTTGGTTTCCCTGGTGGATTGCAGAGCACACGTGCACATGTGTTATATGTGTATATACATGTATATGTGTATACATGCAGGCATGTGTGCAAGAATTCTAGTGTGATTGAGAATGGGTGTTGTGAGGCAGGTCAGTACTTTCCTTAAACAGTTCTCATTACACATTTGGAAAATAGCTCAGAGTGACAGCAATATTTTGTGATCTGTGGGGTTGGGGAGATAGCTCAGCCAGCAAAGTGCCTGCTGCACAAGGATGAGGACCCGAGTTCAGATCCCCAACACCCATGTCAAAAAAAAAAAAAAAAAAAAAAAGGCACAGCACTCAGGAGGCAGAGGCAGGCAGATCTCTGTGAGTTCGAGCCCAGGCTGGTCTACATAGTGAGGTTCAGGCCAGGTAATACTATATAGTAATACCCTGTCTCAACAAATGAAAAAAATAAACAAATTTTTTTAAATGTTAGGTTTAAGCTGGGCATGGTGGCGCATGTCTTTAATCCTAACACTTGGGAGGCAAAGGCAGGTGGATCTCTGTGAGTTCCAGGCCAGCTAGGGCTAAAGGGAGACCCAGTCTCAAAAGACAAAAAAAAAAGTTAGGTTCGATGGCACATGCCTATAATGATAATGCTGGAGACAGAGGTAGGAGGATCCCTAGGGTTTGCTGGCCAGTCAGCCTGGCCAAATCGGTGAGCTCCAGGTTTAGGGAGAGGCCCTGTCTCAAAAATAACGTGGAGAGTGACAGAGGAAGCCCCCCCCAGATGTTTACCCCAGGCATCCACATATATGGATACACATGTATACATGCATCTGCATGCACATGTGCACAGATATGAGCACGTATACATACTTGAAAATAATAAAAATCTAATATTCATCACACATGCAAGAAACAAGGGATGGAGATGTAGGGGCTGGAAATGAAGAGAACAGAGAGCTGGTTCCTTTACCTGCAAAGGGGACATGTTCTTAATTCTGAGTCAGCATGCAGCCCAGCAGACCCTTTAGACCCTCCTTTGATGATGTAGCCTAAGCAAATGCCTCCCGCAGTTAGCTCTCTCCTTTCCCTCCAGTCTCTGCAGGTCCTGGGAAGGGAACACTGAAGGGAAGTGTCAGGGAGCAGGCTCTGTGAACTTTCCTTCCGTTCTTGGCCATGTTTTATTCTTGGGCCTTCCTTGTCTGTCCCAAGCCACTTGCTCCAGAGAGCTTACCTCCCACTCAGTTAGCATCCATAGTTATGATAGGCTAGCTGGGAGCTGGCTCAGGAACGCTCTTCACTTTGTTTGCAGAATGCTTCCCCAGCAAGAACACCTCCTGCTCAGGCATCTCCACCAAGGACATCTCCAGCCCAGGCATCCCCAGCAAGGACATCTCCAGCCCAGGCATCCCCAGCAAGGACATCTCCAGCCCAGGCATCCCCAGCAAGGACATCTCCAGCCCGGGCATCCCCAGCAAGGACATCTCCAGCCCAGGCATCCCTAGCAAGGACATCTCCAGCCCGGGCTGCCCCAGCTCGGGCATCACCTTCCAGGTCATCGTCGGGCGGGTCATCATCTGCCAGGTCAGCCTCTACGACATCTTCCCCAACGAGAGTGTATCTTGTTAGAGCAACACCTGTGGGGGCTGTCTCAGTCCGGGCATCTCCTGCCAGGTCAGCACCAGCCACCAGGGCCACCAGGGAGTGCCCAGGTAAGGAGGCCATTGCAAGGAGGGCAGGCAACCTGGGCAGTGTCCTTGGGTAGTGGGGAGATGTCAGTGAGCACTCTGCTCCTCGTGCTCCTGGGATAATGACCTGGGAGATCAACTGGGGTGGAGCATGAGGGACCTGGAGAGGTGAGGACAGAAAGAAACCATGACATGACAACCCAAGACAGTGGAAAATTAGGCAAAGGGGAGGGGCACAGAAGCCAGGAGCAAGGGACAAGTGTGTAATGGAGGCTGCCCCGCCCAGGGCAGAGTGCTGCTTTCAAGCTAGGGCTCTTTCTTGGCTAGAGACTAGTGCTGTCTCCTTCAGCTGTCCAGCACATCTGCTGGGGTCATGCAGTCAAGCCTGGGGCCTGCAGTGGAGCAAGGCCATGACCAGTATGCTTATCTGTGGATGGAGGATGTCTGGGAGGGACTCTGACCACTCCGTGCATCCAAGGTGCGGGATGTGAGGTTCAGCAGTTTCACTGCCAGGAAGTAAGAGAGACAAGTGGGTCTCAGGGCCTGGCTCTGCCCCAGACTTCAGCCTGCCTCCCTCTACTCATAGATTCAGGCCTTGTTGGTATCTGACTGTGGCGCACTGGGGGTTTGGGGCCCATCCTAGTCTTACGTCTCCATGATGGGTGAGACACTTTCGTGAGATGGGCTCTAGAATCAGACACTGCTGCATTTGAATATCTGCCCTGCTACTCACTAGCCAAGCAACTTTGGGCAATTTATTTTATTTCTGTGAGCCTCAGTTTCCCCATCTACTGAATGGACCTAATAAGACTCAACTCACAGGATGCAATGAGGATGAGATAGGAGGACACTTGTCAGGGTCTGTCAGGCCCAGAGGAGGGATTCCCTGAGAGGGTGGCTACCAGGCAGGGCTGGGGTTGTGTTCTGGGATGCATGGGTCCTTGCAGGCCTCTCAGAGGCTAGCCCGGCTTCCTTCTCCCTCCTCCACCACACCACACTCCTCCCCAGCAGCCTCCCTTCCCCTGCTGTCCTGCTTGTAGGTCTCAGTCCACCCAAGTTCTCCTGGCGGGAGACCCAGAAACAGCTGCCACTCATCGGGTGTGTCATCCTCCTCATCGGCCTCGTTGTCTCACTCATCCTTCTCTGTGAGTTGAATGGAGGGAACAGGGGGTTCAGGTCATCGAGAATGGAATGGGACCAGGTGCGGGGTCATGCCACAGGGACAGGAGGCCCCATGTCCACACAGGGACCTTGGGTCTTGGGGTATCAGGTTAAGAGCTACTGATTTCTGAGAAACTCACTGGGTCAAATTCAGTATCTTAATATGGGATGAAGTTCATCTATTAATCCATTCAATTTGCCATGTACCTCTTTTATTTATTTTTAATTTATTTTGTTTTTTATTTTATGTGTATGAGTGTTTTGTCTGCATGTATGTAAGGGCACCTGTGCATGCAATGCCCAAGGAAACCAAAAGAGGGAGTGTCATATTCCCTGACACTAGAGTTACGGATGATTGTTAGGTGCCATATAGGTGCTGGGAACTGAACCCTGGTCCTCAAGAAGAACAGCCAATGCTGTTAGCCACTGAGCCATCTCTCCAGTCCTTTTAAATTTATGTGTATTATTTTATGTGTATGAGTGTTTGCCTACATGTATATAAGTGCGCTATGTGCATGCAATGCCTGTGGAGGGCAGAAGAAGGGGTTAGCTCCCCTGAAACAGGAGTTACAGACAGTTGTTAGCAACCACATGGATTCTGGGAACCAAACCTGGGTCTCTCCAGCCAGTGTTCTTAATCTCTGAGCCATCTCTCCAGTCCCTACCACGTACCTTTTAAGCTCTCACCCCACCTTCTCCAGGTCAGGAGGACCATGTGAGAGGATGGCATGATGCTTGGCACAAAAATCTCCCTCTGAAAACAAATAGCTAGGTAGGAAAACCAACAAGCCATGAAACAATGAAAAAGCCTCCCAAGATCAATGTGACAAAATGCACTGTTCAGGGATTCAGGCCCCTCATTTGGTCCGTCTTTGGAAAAGGTCACCCAGAACATGTCCTAGGAGGGAGCAAAGACGAGCACATGTCATGCTGTCCTGTCCCCAGGGAGGTCACCCATGCCTGGGGCACTAGAAATAAGTCAGGCTAAGTGGTTTCAATATGACTTCAAGGAAGAGGTGACAGTGGCATGAGCGAGGGTGCAGGCAGTTTCAGATGGGGTCCTGGAAGACAGGTGAGCAGTCATGTCCAACCTGGGCATCAGAATGGATGGGCAGCTACTGTAAATGGGGGAGGCCAGCCAAGCAAAGCTGACATTGGGAAGAGTCCACTTAGCCAGAGGGGAGATACATATTCGGGGTCTGAGGGCTACCTTCTTGGCTCCATGATGCCAGGAAGCTTTAAACACCAGACTGTGAAGAAGGATTCTATAGAAGAAGCAATATGAGGTGGTGAAGGGAGGGGTGGATAGGTGCATGGAATCTTCTGGTGGCAGAGTTGTTAGAGGAAGAAGGTGGTGTGTTGTTAGATCATAACTTTAGTACTATGCATTCCTGCATCAGCATCCTGCCTCTGCTTCTCATGAGCTGTGTGACTTCAGCAAATTAATTAACATTCTGAGCCTCAGTTTCCCCATTTCCTGATCGGATGGTGCAGTCATGGTTACAATGTATGTGATGGCATCTAGGTTTCCTTGGGCTGAGATCTCCTGTTTACTTCCTCCCCTTCCCCAGCACAGAGTACCCTGCTCTATGACAGCAGAGGGAATGAGCCGGGAGGGGGCATGAGACACTCAAGGGCAGGCTCTGCCAGGTAGACTTAAAACTTCTGGTCCACTTCTATAGCAGTTCCTGATTCCTCATGGCTCCTTTATGGAGGCCAGGGATCTCCCAGGCCAGGGAGGTAGTAGGATCTGTACAGGTAGAGCTCGGCCTCTTTGTTTCCCACCCAGCACTCTGTCTACAACATTTCACAGTGGCCCGACAATGTGAAGCTTCTCAAGCATTTGCCAGAAGGAGACACCCAGAGGTGTTCTCAACATCTGGGGGATGGGAGTTGAAAAGAAGATAGAACACTGACTGGAGAGCCTGCACTGAGGGATCAGGAAGATGTGTGTCTGGATAGGAAAAGTGCTTCTCCTGGATATCAGAGCTAGTAAGGGAATATGGGGTCAGGGCTGAGGAGATGACAGATTGGGGCCTGGGTGAGGCAGTCAACCATAGGTCTGTGGGGGCTTCACAGAAAGTTGTCTCCAGTAAGTAGGACGACAGTTCTGGGTTTGGAAAGATTGGTGTAAGAGACAGAAGGAGACAGGAAGCTGATTCCCACATGAGGCTTGAGATGTTTTCTTGCATCTTGGGAACTGACTACCTAGAATTGCTTGCTGAATGAGAAGCCATTGAGAGGCATAAGGATGATAGCGAGGAGCGAGCACATGGGGCACCCTTGTTTGGGGGAGCAGGAGGAAACAAATCTAGGAGCTGCCAAGACTGATGTCATGGTAACCCGCCTTGAGACAGCTAGGCAGTGGTTCTGTGTGTGTGTGTGTGTGTGTGTGTGTGTGTGTGTGTGTGTGAACAGCTAGGCAGTGTTTTTGTGTGTGTGTGTGTGTGTGTGTGTGTGTGTGTGTGTGTGTGAAGATAGAAATTTCTCTGCCATAATCCTAGTTGTGCATAGAGAAGAGGGGATGCCAGAGGGGCTCAGAGAGGGGACTTTGGGATACTGGAGGAGAGTTCTTTGGTTACCATCTCAGCTAACATGTAGAGTAGGGGCACTCCCAAAGTAGCATCCACTTCCATTTCTATTTCCTTTCATCTCTCTCTGCATGGCTGGCTGCTCAAGTCTGCCAGGGGCTACCCTGCTTGCAGGAGCTTTCTAGAGCATTCCTGAGCAGCAGCCTTTCTCTCCATACAGATGGGGGACGGGAGCCCCAGAGTCCAAGAGGGACTGCAGGTCGGTGTCTCAGAATCCCCAGGGCCTTGGGCTGCTGAGTGTTCTATTGGGAGCTGGTGGTGACTAGATGTCCGCTTGTCTTTTTTTTTTTTTTTCTAGTCTACTTCTGGCAGGGCCACACCGGGATCAAGTACAAGGAGCCGATAGAGAGCTGCCCCAGGCATGCCGTTCGCTGCAATGGGGTGGTGGACTGCAAGCTCAAGAGTGACGAGCTGGGCTGTGGTAAGGAGGCTGGGCACGTGTGTGTGTGAGTGTGTGTGTCTGCATGTGTACCTTGGAGGCTACATACTGTATTGCAAGTTCTAACAGTCCAGGCAGAGTCAATGGACAGAGATTTGAAAGATCTAGGTCTGAGTGACAGCAGACTTGGATTTGAAACCAGATTTTGAGTGCTATGTGACATAGATAAGTCATTTGCCTTTCTAAGGTTTCAGGTACCTGCTTTTTAAAATGAAGGGCCTGAACAAGATGGCTAGCACTTTAATAAAATCTGAAACTCTATCAGATTGAGAAAAAAAGACGATCTCTGCTGGGCATGGTGGTGCACTTGGGAGGCAGGGGCAGGCAGATCTCTGTAAGTTCAAGGCCAGCCTGGTCTACATAGTAAGTTCCAGGCCAGCTGGGGCTACAGGGAGACCATGTCTCAAAAAGACCAAAAAAGACGATCTCTGACTGGAGCAGGCTTGGGATCTGGTCCATTCCTCTGTCTAGCAGGTGCCCTCTCATTTGCCACACCTATGATTTCTTGATGTCCTAGGCAATCACAGAGACACATTTGAACTCTGGTCCTCAGTGGCTTGTGCATGTGTGGTCTTCCACAACCTTGCTGTGGGGTAGGGGGGCCCCATCCATTTCACCTCTGAATTTATTAATACAGAGACACTTGGCATGGCTGCACTCCTCTGTGACCAAGTCTGTCCTATGGGCATGCCCTCAGATCATTGATCTTATTCCCCTTGTCACCTTTTCCTTTAGGCATGTCATTGCCCTCTTAGTGTGACTGCTCTTGGTGATGCTTGTCCCTCTCCCCACAATGGCATCCCTGAGTCGGGCCAGATGAACAGTTGTCAAAGCCCCATCCCTTTGCCTTGGCTCTGTCCTTACTGAATACTGTGGGCCTCTGGCCATCACTACTTGGGCCGCCTTCTGGACCTCTTCAAGGAGTCTGAGGACAGGAGCTTCATAGAGCCTTCCACAGCTCATTCTTAAAAGCCTGGAGGTTCCTAGGTGTTAAAGGCCTGCTCTTCCCTTTTTCTGCCCTGCAGTGAGGTTTGACTGGGACAGTTCTCTGCTGAAGGTCTACTCTGGGTCCTTTGGTGAGTGGCTTCCCATCTGTAGCAGCAGCTGGAATGACACGGATTCCAAGAGGACCTGCCAGCAACTGGGCTTTGACAGGTAAACCTGGGAGGGTCCTCATTCAGGGATGCCTCAGGCTGTTTGCCAGGGGTGCTACAGGCACCTTGGGAGGCTGAGGCTGGATGATCATGAACCCAACCTGGGGTTCACAGAGAGACTAAAAAAATTTAAAGAAGGAAGGAAGGAGGGAGGGAGAGGAAGAAGAAAGGAAGGAAGGAAGGAAGGAAGGAAGGAAGGAAGGAAGGAAGGAAGGAAGGGAGAAAGAGAAATAAAAAAGGAAGTGATGGGATCCTGAGGGGAACTAGTGTTGATCTTACCAGCTCAGGACGCCCCTGAGTCACTGAAAAAGGTGGTGGCCTGGAATCCACTGAGTGTGGGGTGAGTTGTTTCTAGTAGAGCCATTTCCAGAAGAGCTGTAATAGTATCATTCGCCCCTAGGGCTCTTTGGATGAAAGTACCCTCTTGTCTATCACCACACCAAGTGGTTCTGGGATGGCCCTGTGAAGCAGCTGGTTGTTTGAGAAGTTCTTGTCTTACACTTGGGCACTAGGAGCTCTGCTGTGCATCCAAAGCCATTTGTGGACTTTGAGCCACAGCAGTTGTGGCTTGGTTGTGAAATTCATTGACTGGGAAGTAAGATGGTACCAGTGTGATCTGGCCAAGTACTGTGAAGCTTTGGCTCCATAGATTTTATACCAAGGAGTCAGTGTTGGTGGGTAGAACAGAGGATAGGGTGGACAATGACCTTCCTATTTGAAAGATCCTCCAACTGAAGGCCAGGTAGACACCTCCATCTACTGCCTTGGCCTGAGTGTGTATGTGTGTGTGTGTGTGTGTGTGTGTGTGCACATGTGTGTGAATGTGGTTGCATGGGTATATGAATATGTATGGAGGCCAGAGAGTCAAACTTGGGTGTTGTTCCTCTGGAACCATCCACCTAATTTTTTTGAGATAAGATCTCTCATTAGCCTGAAGCTTGCTAAGCTAGACTTCCTGGCCATCAAGCCTCAGGGACCTGCCTGTCTCTGCATCCCCAGTGCTGGGATTGCTAGCATTTTGCATGGGTTCTGGGGGCTGAACTCAGGACCTCATGTTTTTTTTTTGTGGAAAGTACTTTACCAATTGAGCTATCTGCCCAGCTCTTTCTCCAAGTTCTTAAGCTTAATGACTTTAGGATTCATGGATGTGTGTGAGATTATGGGGGAGAAGAGTTTAGGATCTCTCATGTGTTCTGCTCTTTGAATGCCATTATGCAAAGAGCATTTGCTGAGTTTTCAGAAGACTATGTGGCACTTAGATATAAAGGAATATGAGAGGACCCCATATTTGAAGATCCTCTAGTGTGGTGTGGGAAAGGCTTATCCCAGCAATCCCACAGGAGGGCATGTGTGGAGCTCTGTTGACACACAATGGAGAGGATGCTTAACTATGCTTGGGAAAGGAACTGTGTATGCAAAGACCCAGTTCCTTGGAAGGGCATACCATAGTCTAGAAACACATGTAAGTTCCAGGCAAAGAGTAAAACACACTCGAATCACCTAGGGTGTTTGTGAAAATGTACCCCAGAATACAAATCTCTAGCATTGGGACTTAGAACCTGTTTAACAAACACCCAAGGTGATTAAGAGGCACACTGCTCTGAGAGTCACCATCAGTCATCCGGCAGTCTTGAGCATGCTGATGAGTGCTCAAAAGGTCTGGCGTGGTGCTGATGCTGCAAGACTATAAATCACAGTTTGGATAGAAAGGGCTAGATGTGTGTTCTCAAAGTCAAGCATACATCAGAATTACCTGGAGTTGTTAGAACACGGGTTGCTGTGTGCCCCTCAGAGCTCTGGTTATAGGCCCTTTCTAACTAGGTAGTACTGATATGGACCTTGACCACACTACAGAGTTACTGGCCCAGTCATAGGGCTGGGGGACAAGGCAGAACAAGTGGGTGTGGCCAGGTGGAAGAGTGGCTATTCCAGTCTGACCCCTGGGGTGTGAGGGTTGCTCTCATGGTCACAGAGGACTTGGGGTATACTGACTGCCTTCAGGGAGTTCATTCTTCTTCTTGCCTCCTTGCAGTGCTTACCGGACAACCGAGGTGGCCCATGGGGACTTTACCAGCAGCTTCTTACTTTCTGAATACAACTCCACCATCCAGGAAAGCCTCCGCAGGTGCAGTGGAGCAACCAGGCTGCCTGTGTGCAAACAGGGACTGAGGGAATGGTGGAGGGTACTTAGAGTCAGGGAGCCCCTCTCCCATGCCTTCCTGGGACCCAGACTCCAAGACCCCATTGCAAAAGGTCAGGACACCACAGATACAGTCCTCCTTCACCTCCTGGTTTACAGTTTCTTATCTGAGGTCTGGAGCAGAAGTCTCCTTAAGGTCAGAGGTTTCTGCTCTCTAACCCCTAAGAGCTTGTTTGATTGGGAACAATGACTAAGAAACTTTGGGGACACCAAGCAACTAGGTGTTTGGATTCTGCAGAGTGGACTTGGAATGAAAAGAGATATGCATAGCTTGGGCTAGAGCTGGGGCTGGGGTTGAGGCCGGAGCTGAGGTGGGGACAGGAGCAGGGGACCAGCAGGGTTAAGTAGTCAGGGCCCAGGAGGCCCAGCTGGGAAGCCCCAGTCCCCTCCTGGGCCTCCACACTGTCTGCCATCTTTGCCTTGCAGCCCCTTCTGAGGTTGAAGGGGTTCCTCAGCTAGTGCTGCTTACCTTGTGCAAGCAAGAGAAGAAGAAGCCTCCAGCTGAGCGATGGTCCTCCAATGCCTGTTTTGAGCTAGGTCCTCTGCATGCTACGTTGAGGATCAATTAGGCCTGCTCAATTGTAGAAAGGCTTCTTGGTGGAGGCAGCTACTGAATCCTTTTCTCACCTTTTGTGTCTCCTACCACAGGTCTGAATGTCCTTCCCAGCGGTATGTCTCACTCCAATGTTCCCGTAAGATCTTCTTCTTTTTGGAGTATGGCCTGTGTAGAATGGGAGTTTGTGGGCAGAGGGATGGAGCCTTTCTAGGGTAGATGGCTGGTCCTGGGGATCCAAGCCATTAAGCCTACTTCAGGGTCAGAGCCTCTGTAAGGCACTGGGGCAGCCAGGATAACACTTTCCTTCTTCTGTCTGGGGGGCAGGGAGCTCATTTCCAAAGGTGCCATGTGAGTCTCCTGGACTCTGGGCAAAGGCTGAAAAACTGGGGGAGGACGGCAGGTGTGGGCCAGCTGAGAGCTTTGTGTCTACACTCCCTGAGCATCTGAACACAAAGGGCACTGTATCTATGCCTTTAAGGACAGGCTTGTACTTACTGCCTGTGGGAGCTCTACAAGGCAGGTGCCAATACTGTCCACTTTCCCTTGCCTAAGGTCAAAACCCAGGCAGGTGAGGAGTTGATATCTGACCTTGGACCTGACTCTTGGCTGTGAGTCATTCCACAAGTCCTCTGTTCTTGGTGATGCCAGGGTGCAGGCTGGCGCAGTGATGTGGATGCAGTGCCCGCTGCTCAGACCGCTGCTCTCTTCCCTCTGCAAGCAGAAAAGCCCCATGTCTGGGTACACACATCAGGCTGCCCCCCTTGTCTGGGGCCTGATTCATTCCAGAGTTGTGTCCTTGTGAGGAAGGGTCCCCAACAACACTAAATGATCCATCGAGGCATGCATGGATACAAACCCAGCTGTGCATACAGGGAAGTTTATTTTTCCTTCATTTTGATATGAAGAGTTGCTGTAATAGTGATCATTAATTAATTCAAGGTGGTAATAGCATCCGTTTTCTTTCCTGAGCCTCTAATGGCAGTTCTAACCAAGCCTGACTCGGTGCCAAAGCACTGGGTACCTATTAAGCATTTGCCTGGTTAGAGAGAGAGAGAGAGAGAGAGAGAGAGAGAGAGAGAGAGAGAGAGTAGAGAGAGAGAGAGAGAGAGAGAGAGAGAGAGAGAGAAAGAGAGAGAGAGAGAGAGAGAGAAAGAAAGAAAGAAAGAAAGAAAGAAAGAAAGAAAGAAAGAAAGAAAGAAAGAGAAAGAAAGAAAGGCAAAGAGGAACCTGCCTTGGGTCAAATTTCCTACTGGAAGACCCCAGAAAGCTAAGCTCACCTTGTGCTGTTTCTGCTTAGGCAGGGAACAGCCATGCCACACTGGACTGAGTGATCAAAGGCTTACCTTCAGGGTGGGATTGCCCAAGCTGGCCCTGGGTTCAGGGAGGGTGGCTTCTCAGAAAGAAGCAAGTGTCACAGGCTGTCTTCTTCATTTCCTCCAGACTGTGGTCTGAGAGCCATGACTGGGCGGATCGTAGGAGGGACCCTGACCTCAGAGAGCAAGTGGCCCTGGCAAGTCAGCCTACACTTCGGCACCACCCACATCTGCGGGGGTACACTCATCGACGCCCAGTGGGTGCTCACCGCAGCCCACTGCTTCTTTGTGTAAGTGCCTGAGGAGCCTCTGATTTGATATTGTTACAGCCCAGAGGATCAACTGTGAGTGAGGAATTGGTTCCAAGCTAGGGTTAAGGATGAAAATGACCCTGGTAGCCTCTAGGAAGAGTGGGACAGGCAGGAAGAGGGCCTTCAGACTTGTCTCCTGGAGACTGGGTGAAATAAAGAAGCTCCAGGCTTGTCATCTCCTCCTGCCACCAGGCTGATAGCAGAAGTCTGAGAATCTGGAACGCTGTCTCAAGACTTGAGGGACAGGGGCTACAGGAGGACAGTGAGCTGGCTTCTGACAGTCTCTAGAAGTCTTGCCCTTTGGAGACCCATAGCATAGATATCCTAGACACTGGCTCCCTGAGTAATGAGCCCTGTCTAGATCTTGGTGGCTGGTACCATCTGTCCCACTCCCTACATTGCATCCTGGGCAGCACACAGTGGAGGTCAATGCCACACGGGGGTCTTACTCATCCTTTTGCTTTTTACACACTGTAAGGTGCAGAGTGGTCAGTTCAGAACAACTTTGGGGAGAGTGAGGGATGGCTTTGGGCTTCCTGAGACAGAGGGCTCCTCCAGAGTCATTTCGTCCATTCTCCTGCCTCCAAGCCAGTGCTTCTGCTGGGGTCTCTATTAGCAGATGCTCTGGTGACCTCTGCCAGGCATGTAACTGAATTGTGCTCACACTCTTGTGGCTCTTGCAGGACCCGGGAGAAGATTCTGGAGGGCTGGAAGGTGTATGCAGGCACCAGCAATTTGCACCAGCTACCCCAGGCCGCTTCTATCTCTCAGATCATCATCAATGGCAACTATACAGATGAACAGGATGACTATGACATCGCCCTCTTGCGGCTCTCCAAGCCCCTAACCCTGTCAGGTAAGTGAATCTGTGCTTTTTCCTCTTTCCCCAGCACCCTTGGGAGCAGCAGCTTCTATTGACCCATTTGGGTCCCAAGAGCTCCATTATAGCAGAAGTTAAAGACTCTCAGTGATTACCACATGGAACACTTTTACAAATGGGGAAACTGGGGGCCTACGGAGGTGACTCAGTGGGTAAAGTGCTTGCTGAACAAACATAAGGACCTGAATTCAGATCCCCAGAACCCAAATAAAAGCTCTGCTTAGTGGCAGTGCCTATAACCCTAACACTGGGGAGTAGAAGTAGGATCCTGGGGGCTTGCTGGCTGATCAATCTAGTCAAAACTTGAGCTTCTGGTTTAAAGACAGTGAGGATCCCTGTCTTTAAAAAAAGGAAGACACTAGTGTCAGCCTCTAGCCTACAAACATAAACCCTTACGGATATGCATACCTTCATATGCACACACACACGCACGCACACACACACACACAAACACACACACACTCACAGAAAGAAAGAAAACAAGTGGAGAAACTAAAATGCAGTGGTTAGAAATACAAGTGCCTCAAATGGCACATTTCACATTACGAATTGGCCACGCCACAGAGCCAGGGCTTGGCTACTGGTCTTAATCAATATAAGGAGACTGAATTGACTAACTAGTTGTAACTGAGCACTTAACAGATGCCAGACAGTATATTAGTTACTTTTCTCATTGCTGTGACAGAGTACCTGATCAAAGCAACCTAAGGGCAAAAGGATTTATTTTGGTTCCTGGCTTACAAGGATATAGTCCATCTGGTTGGAAGCCACGGTGCTGACAGCAGCAGGACTATGTCACCGCTTGTTCACATCAGAGTAGATCAGGAAGCACAGAGAGGACAGGAAGTAGGGCTGGGCTATAAACCTTGAGGCCTGCCCCCAGCAATCTCCTCCTAAAGGTACTATAGCAGCCTCCTAAAGGTAATACAAACTTCCTAAACAGTGCCACCAGCCAGAGACCAAGTGTTCAGACACACGGGCCTATGTGAAGCATTTTGTATCTAAGCCATAACACATTGGAAGGCCTTTTACATGTATGTATGTATTCTTCCCATCCAGCCCTGGGCGCAAGCCTGTGAGCTCCATTTAACATATGAGGAAATGGAGCTTTAGAGAGCAATGTTAACTGCAGCCATGAGTGATAGGTTGCAGTCCAGTCCAGATGGTATCCAGGTTGATCTGCCCCCCGCCCCCTAGCAAGGGCCCTTCTCACATGGCTGTGGGCTAGCAAATGGTGTGCACTGCAGTGGAGAACATGAGCTGAGTGCACATTTGAGTGAATCACTGTTATGTCATTGAAACGAAGGACCAAGTGAGGCAAACTGCCAGAAAGACCACAGATGTTCTCAGGCCACTGGGGACAAGGAATGTCAAAGAAAGCTTCATTCACTCATTCACTAGTTTGTTCACTTCTTGCTTTGTGTCTACTACATGGCCAATGGCAAATAGAACAAAATTGGCGATCTGCATTAAGACAACCAGATATGGCCAATGATGCCATGTTGGGGGGAGTAGGGGGAGCTATCGTGGTCCAGTTGGGGGCATCTGATCAGACTTGTCAGGCTGGGAGATGCTAGACTGAAAGAAGATAGATAAGGTGGGTTCTAAGAGGATTGGTGGGGACTGGATGCTTCCTGGTGGCTCAGTGGTTAGGAACACATACTGCTCTTATAGAAGACCCAAGTTTGGTTCCCAGCACCCAACTCTAGTATAGTAACTCCAGTTCTAGTGGATCCAACACCTTCTTCTGGCCTCCACAGGCACCTGCATTCACACACACACACACACACACACACTTTTTAAAAAAATCTTTAAAAATACTTGTGAAGACAGGTAAAGGAGGCTCAGGAGGGAGCCTGAAGATTGGGGTCAGGGCCATCAGAATAAGAAAATTCTCATGAGAGGGAAACAGGCACATCTCCTTTGGAAGACTGGGATTTCCAGAATCCTTGGAGAGTTCTCTGGTTAGTTCAGATTTGAGCCTGTGAGCTGGGGTTTCCATTATGGAGGCAGTATCTGTCAGAGACAGAGCTGTTAGCTCATCAGAGTAGGGCAAGGGGGAGTAGTCCTGGGCAGAGCTCTGGTGAACAGGCTATCCCTGAACTACGTTCAGTATGGCCATACCCACCCAGGATTGTCTGTGGAGCCTCTGGCTAAGCTGAGGGGCTCAGGCAGCCTCATTCCCTGCTCCACTCTCCCTCTCTGTCTGTCTTTCTTTCTGTCTCTCTCTCTCTCTATCTGCCCCACCAAAACATGCCTTCTCAGCCTTGTACAGCCCAAATCTATTTGACTAAAACATCTGTATCTTACTTCACTACCCCATCCATTACTATTTGGAATTTCTAAAGTAATTTCTAAAGTCAAATTAAAGCCTTATAATATCATGTAGGCTTCTCAGAACGTGGCAGTCTCCTTCCTGGTGAGGATGGGCCCTGGGGCATGAAACAGACCACAAGTCTGAGAATCACAGCTCAGATTTATGTAGTCCCAGGGTCAGACCATGTGCCCTGATTTTTGTTGTTGTTGTTGTTTACAAACCAAGGTAGATTTTTCTTAAACTGTTTTGGGAGGCTGAGCACCTTCTGTGAAAACCCACTAATAATTTTAAATCCCTTATTAAAATAAGGGGAATATATAACTATAGAACATATCACTGTGTTACAGGTTAAGACCTCATCTCAACAATGGGCACAGAAAAGAAATCATGTTTTGCATTTTTTGTTAATAACTGATATTATCCTTCCACTTACTTGTGTGTTTCCTTGTGTGTGGCAAGTTGACATTTAAAACCAACCATTGCAACATGAATTCCTCTCTCCTTCCTTAGTCCCTCCCTCCATCCTCAAATGTTCATACATGCCTAAATCTGTGGCAGACCCACATAGCATGCATAGTGAATGTAACAGCTGAGAACACTGCAGAATTCTATCAGCGAATGTTTCCCTCCTATAGTCTGGAGTTCAATGATCTGTATCATAAGCTATCTAAGGGGATCCAGGCTGCCAAGGAAACTTATGAAGTGATATGCAGTTAATATCTTATAGATAGCACTAAGCATGGGAACATGTTAGCAGTAGTTCATGGTCTCAGTCTTTAGAGGTGGGCTCTTCCTCCTTGGAGGGTTTTCTCACCCTGTGTCAGATGAATGGAGAGAGAGAGAGCTCTGAGTGCTGTCCAGCCAACTGGTGCCTTCCTAGATCAGATAGCACATACCATGAGATGACATGGCCCTAACATCTGGGACTTAGTCTATGTTGTTCATGTGTTGAAGGAAAGGCCCGGAAGAGGCTCAGCTAAAACTATCTTGCTAGAGAGACTCTCCTCCATCAGATTCCAAAGTTATATATATGTCTCCATGGCAACAGTGGGACCAAAATGGCTTCAAGGATGCTGGCAGGACCCTGAGGACTGGAGAGTTCAAATGAAGTGATTGAGTTTTGTACTTGGTCAGTTCAAGGCCCTGGAGGATTCAGACCTCTGAGGGAGCAAGGATAGGACTCCTAGAACATGGGTGCTCTGCTCCCATTATTCTTCCACCCAACCCCCCAACCTTGCTTCTTTACTAACACTTGGAGGCCTTGTTGCAGCTCATATCCACCCTGCCTGCCTCCCTATGCATGGTCAGACCTTCAGCCTTAATGAGACCTGCTGGATCACTGGCTTTGGCAAGACCAAGGAAACAGATGGTGAGTAGCAGAGACCCAGGGCTGTGTGTGTATGTGCTTTTTCAAAGGCATATGTACATGTGTATATGTATGGAGACCATAGGTCTGGGTATGCAGATAAGGGCCTATACAGATGAGAGTTTGGGTCTACAGCTTCATGGTAAATATATGAACTGAAACAAATGTGAATATGTCAACAGTTGGTGTGACAACACCTTCCATGCAAGACAACCAGGAAACCCTGCAGTTGAATGAGTTGGGTTCACTGCTCATGACAGTGAGGGAAAACACATGTGAAGAACCATGGGTATTTCAATAAAAAGCTGCTAGAAAGGGCTTATTGTAGAAGCTGGGTGTCTTGGGGAGAGTTCAGAGAAGTGGAAGTTTTCTCTAGGTTGGTTGCTATTGGGAAGCAGGGGTATCTCTGCTCATCTAGAAGGAGGAGAGAGCTAAGGCTATCATGGTAGAAGAGCAACAGGCCCTTGCACTGAGGGGGAAGAGAGGATGTTTTGTGTTTGTGGTTTGCACAGGACTTTGTTTTTCCAGTAATAGGTACTGAGCCAAGGGCCTTGCTCATGCTTAACAAGAAGTTCTCTACCACTGAACGACATCCCAGGTCTCATTTTGAGACAAGGTCTTGCTAAATTGTCCAGGTTGACCTAGAACTCACTGTGGAGCCCAGGCTGGCCTCGAACTTATGATCCTTGTACCACAGCCTCCTGAGTAGCCAGGACTACACCTGTGCTACCAGGCCTGGTTGGGACCTTGTCTTCACCTGTCCTAAAGAGGATGCTGAGATTGCCTTGTTTAGCCTCTCCTCATCTCAGTCCAAGTACCTAGTCTGGTGTCAGTTCCACAGGACTATCCATGTCCCCCAAGGGGGACACCGTGGCCTGACCAGTCTGGCTCTTACATTCAGACTAACTCTACAAGTCAAGGCCACCGTTCCCTGACTCCCTTGATGAAAAGATGATTGGTCTGGATACAGCCTTCTGACCCTGTATTCAACACTGATTAGCTGTATGGCTGTGGGCAAGTCACTTCTTCAGCCCTAGGTAGCCCTACCTGTGAATGGGCCAGTAAGACATACCTTCTTTAGGACTGAAAGTTTCTGAAAACAAAGTGGCCTATGCGGTGGTACTTCAAATGTAGGCAACGGTGCAGTCCTTGTCTTGGTTACTTTACATGTGGCTGTGACAAAATACTCAACAAGCAACTTAAGAGAAGAAAGGCATATTGTGGCCCACAGTTCCATGGCAGGGAAGGCATGGTGGCAGGAGCTTGAGGCAGCTGTCACATTGCATCTGCGGTCAGGAAGCAGAGGAATATGAATGTTGCTGCTCAGTTCCTGTTCTCTTTCTCAGTCAGTTTAGGACCCCAGATGATGAAAAGGTGCTGCCCGAATTTAGGGTGGGTTTCCTACCTCAGTTACCCTAATCACAGCCATGCCTAGAGGTTAATTTAATCTAGATAGCCTCTCACAGGCATGCCCAGAGTCTTCTTTCCTGGGCGATTGTAGGTCCAGTCAAGTTGACAATCCATATAAACCATCATGATCAGGTAGCCCACAGGCTTGTGAGTTTGTGTAGGGACAGTTTCTGTATTATGTACATTGAGTTATGTCTGGTGTGAAAGGTATATGTGCCCATACATGTCCTGGGTTCCTGCCGTAGAGGCTCCCTTGGGCTGAGCCCAGACACAGACATGGTGCACTCTACTCCCAGGAGGCTGAGTCTGGGTCCTGAGGGAACAAATGATGGCTATGAAGCTGCCACAATCTCACTGGTTTCTCATCCTCTCTCCCCACTTTCACCTCACTGAAGAGAAGACATCCCCTTTCCTCCGGGAGGTCCAGGTCAACCTCATTGACTTCAAGAAGTGCAACGACTACTTGGTCTATGACAGCTACCTTACCCCAAGGATGATGTGTGCTGGGGACCTTCGTGGAGGGAGGGACTCCTGCCAGGTGAGGTCCTGGTGGGTGGGGCTAGGTCCCAGGACCCTGGAGATGGGAGAAGGCTGGGGTGTTGGGATTGGCATGGGAATTGGGGACCCACTTTTTCTTGCTTAGGACCCCCTTCCCCACATGGCTGACTCATTGACTCTTCCTTGCAGGGAGACAGTGGGGGACCGCTTGTCTGTGAGCAGAACAACCGTTGGTACCTGGCAGGTGTCACCAGCTGGGGCACAGGCTGTGGCCAGAGAAACAAACCTGGTGTGTACACCAAAGTGACCGAAGTCCTCCCCTGGATTTATAGCAAGATGGAGGTGAGAGCCCTGCACAGGGACAGAGGCTAGAGGAGAGTGGAGAGGTGCAGACAGAGGCCATCTCAGCCCTGTGCGTTTAGGGTGTTCAAGACAGGGTCAGATATCAGATGAGCTGTCTTTTCATCCTTTCCTCCTTTTGGAACAGAGACCAGAGGATTATAAAATGGTGAACTTAGGCACAGTGCCAGCCCCAATACCGTTCTCTCCCCATGATGGCCAAAGGCATTCAAACTTGCCACTAGAGTATACTAGGAGGCCACCCTCCATGGCAAGAAGTTTTGTATCAGGAAACCAGGATCTGCTTCCAGTTCTGTTGATTCAGCTCAGTTCAACCTTGCCTCCGCCTCCTGTCTGTAGCTTCAAAGATGGGAGCTAGCTATGGCCAGATCTGCAGGCAAGGGCAGATGGTTCAGAGCTCAGATGGAGCGAAGGAGATGAACCAGAGCCTCCCAGACTCTCCAGCCCTTGGGTTTCTGTGTTCTCTGCTCACTTTTACCATTTTCTCTGTTTCCTCAGAGTGAGGTACGCTTCCGGAAGTCTTAAGCAGCTCCATCACATAGCACTGAGCTCCGTGAAGATTCTGGCCAAAGGGCCTGGCCACTTGCAACATCTGGACCAGGGGCCACCAGGCACCTTTGTTCCTCCCACCTCTGTTGTCTGCTGCCTTATTAGGGTACATATTGGTGCATATGTGCATATTTGTGCATGTGTACATGCATGCATGTATGCATGTCCATGTGCATGTGTGTGTGCGTGCGTGCGTGTGTGTGTGTGTGTGTGTGTGTGTTGTAATGTGTTGCTATTTGTCCAAGTTCTTCAGAAACGAGGAGAATTCTCAGCTCTTTCCAGAATCCCATGCTGGAAATCTGGAGAAAAGAGTTTGGGCACCAGGTGTGTCCCTTAGAACCATAAATGGAGGTGGAGCCCCCCCCCAAAAGGGCCTAGAAGGTGACCCCAGGAATTATTGCTCTTCTGACTGATTTGGAGACTAGCCCAGAGTAGGCAGATACCCAGGTGATGCCATTGCTGAGCTGGAACAGCTCAGAGTCTGGCTTCCCTGTGCCTGGACCATCTGTCCTTAGTGGAAAGCCGTTCCCATCAGGGCTGTGAGCATTGAGCCCTAGAACAGACCTCCTACAGCTGCTGTGGATGCCCAGAGCTGGGCTACACTATCACTGTCCATCTCTTGATGATGACTGTGACTCGGTCTAACAGTTTGGTCACAAGCTGTTGGGAAGGATTTTATTTTATTTTTATATTTAAGAAATAGAAAAAAGCTATAATTTTAAAGATTGTCTTAAAATCCCAAGGACCTTGAAAGTTTGCATGGATCACTCCAAGAACTTCAGGGGACTCATGGAGTTGTACTACTCTAGCATCCTGTGGCATGTTCACAGGATCAAGTGAAGCACTTTAAGTCTTCAGGATAGACGTATCCAAGTTGGTATAGTGACTGGGGCCCCTTTGAGACACTCAGGGAAGCAAATCCTCATTTGGGCCAACAGACAAATCCAATGCATGCTGCTCTGGCCTCCAATGACCACAGCAAGGCAGAAAGAACTGAAGATGTAGGTGCTGCCCTGTTTAGCCTCTCAGGAGCCCTGGGAAGGTCCAGGCGAATGACATCCCTCTCACCCAGGGGCTGAGCTGGGACTGTGAAGTTTGTTTCCAGTTTTGTACTGAGGGTCATGAAGAGAAAGTGAGTGCCGTCCCTAGGACCTCTGAACATCCTTTCTGGGGGCGGTCCAAGTGGGTTTGGCCCTGCCTTCCTCAGGCCTTTTCTCTTGGTCACCTGTTCCTCCTCGGCTCCACCCTTCTCACCTTCCTTGGGCCGTCCAGGCCCCTTATGGTGCTATGGGTCTCAGAGGCAAGTCCAAGCAGATCAACTCAGTTCAGGCTAGCTCAGGCAGGCTGGAGGTGGCCAGAGTGGTTGAGCAGCATCTAACAGGGCTGGAACATTTAGGCTCGGGAGGAGGGCAGCATTCATGTCTAAAGAAGCTCCCATCCCAGCAATGGACTTCAATAAAAGTGTATGACATGAAGAAGTTGTTGAATGTTTTATTGGTGACTTACGGGAAAAATCAGGATTGCCTGCACTCTGCCCAAGTGCCCAGGCCCCTCACACATGGTTCTGGTTTAGTGTCTTCATCTTCTGGGCCTGCTTACCTAATCACAAATCTGGTCATTGATTCATTCACCAATGGTATTAGGGCTTATTCTAGGCCAGGTACTGGTGCTTAGCCCAGGAGATCCACAGAGCAGGGTAGCACCCTCCACCCTGTGCAATGGTAGTGATGATTGCGTGCAGATATTGTGCTTGGAACATGGGCTTAGGTGCCACCAGCCACACCTACAGAGGTCAGGGCAAGCTTAGCTGACGAAGTTTGAAATGAGTCTTAAAGAACAGGTGAACATTCCTAAAGCAGACAGGGCAGGGGGAGGGCACACTGAGACTTGGCCCTTCCCCTCTTCGTCCCCCTCTGCCTTTGCTAGCTCAGTAAGAATTATGTTCATGGGGCCCAGCAATTACTGAATTTGTGAGCGGATTGAGTAGACTCCTTGGCCTCTTCTGCAAGATCTACCCTTTATGCTGCATCCTCACTTTCCCAGCATGCACTATGTTGACCTCAATAGCTGCTATTCCACCAATAATCGTCCAGCAGCACCACACCACATATGCTTGTGACCACAGCCAGCATCCTCCAGGTCTACTTCCACATAGCTGGCCTTTGGATGCTTCAATTTAGTTTGTGTCTCTTATCAACGTGAGGGAAAATCCTTCTTCTGACCCTTTTCTTGTACACAAAAGTGTAAGGAAGGTGGCTGGGAGCTGTGCTTACTGTATTCCTGGTCATAGCAACACGACTTAATAGCCCATACAATTTCCATGGCTTAACCTAATCAGAATCTATCTTTCATCCCTTAACAGTCCAGTGAGGGTGCTCCATCACCTGGAGGCTTTCTTCCACATGGGTTTTCAAGGACTTGTGTCTTTCCATCTCATCCGTCTGTCTTCTGCCAGAAAGAAAACATGTCTTAAATGTATGGCCTAGAAGTGACACCTGTGGCTTCGACTCAAATTTTATATATGCAAGGATGTTACGTGGTGTCGCTTAGAGGCTGTGGGACTGGAAATTGCAGACCTTGGCTGCTGCTCACAGGAGAGTGAGCACTCATTTTGGAGCATAGACAGCCATCTCTGCCCACTAGAAGATGGCTAGAATTGCAGAAGCCAAACCTGGGGTGGAGTGGCAGGGCTTAGGCCACTTCTGTTCTCTTCTTATACACCCAACCCTACCCTGGATGCGTCAGACTTTCTAGGTTATGAATTGATTGGTAGGTAGAGGAGGGCAGGGAAATATTATAGAGAACAAAGGAAGCTCTATAAAGGAAATGGCAAATATAGTCCCTTGGCCCAGAGCATCTATAAGGGATAAAAATCTTATGGAAAGGGAGTGATGGAACTTCCCAGACCTTCAGAGAAGTATGTGGTAGAGGTAAGCGGTGAATACAGGACACTGCCCTGTGCTCCCAGATCCCAAACACCTCTAGATAGCACCAAACCCCATGGCTTTGCCAACGCTATTAACTGTTGCGTGTCCATGGAATTTCTCTAGGAAGAATATGAGAGACTCAGTGTGTTGGGAACAGGGCAGGTGATGGCTCTGTGGAGAGGAGCTACTTGAAGCTTGGCTGGTGATCTGGCTGCCTCTGGGCTTTGATTAGATTCCCAAGGGCCATTGTTTCTCATAATTGCTCAGCCTTTGTCCTGATGCAATTGGGAGAACATGGGGAGATGTGCATAGAGAGCTCTTGGCACTGATAATGAGGAGGGTGGGGACAGTGATTCAGCCTTTGCCAAGTGCTAGATGTTGTGCTGAGCACCTGATATCCACTATTCCTATAAGCCTGTAATCCCACAAAGTAGGCATGGTTACTTCCCTACTTTACAAATAAGAAGACAAAGGCCAAGGGAAGTGAACTATGTTCCCACCAAACCATACAATGCTTAAGGGCCAGAACTGGACTTTGAATCCCGAATCCAGACAGTGATTGTAGAAGCTGTTTCCCTGCACTCTGAATGCTGCCGCTTCCCAAAGCCAAGTGAAGTCCTCCTAGCTGCATCCTCGATAGGGGCTGCCATCTGGAATCTTTCCAGAATGGAAAGGGTGGGACAACTCCTCCAGAAAAGACTGGGTACAACCCTCAAACTGTCACATAACCAGTATCTTAGACTTGGCAGCTTCCAGAACCTTGAAGGAGGGCATCAGGAATGGGAGGAAGCCCCTTCCCCGTCCTCTTCCAAGAGGCTTTTCCCAAGCCATCACAAGCTGTCACCCAGAACACCTCCATGTCTCTTTGATGTGGGTCAATGGTTCTGAAAGACACTCTTCCCCGTCCTCTTCCAAGAGGCTTTTCCCAAGCCCCAGAACACCTCCATGTCTCTTTGATGTGGGTCAATGGTTCTGAAAGACACATGCCATTCATTCCTTATCTCCCTCTGCACTGACCCAGGCTTCCTGTCCTTAGGAAAAGCTGTGGCCCATCCCAGGAAGTAAATAACATCACATCTCACAATGTGTTTGTCCAGAGAACTGGGAGGGTCCCACAGTGTGGTTGAACATCTCTGGACCACCCAGGCAGGAAGCTTTGCTAGTGAAGACCTCTGAGAAAGGTGAAGGCTTGACCGCTTGATCTTTGATCCTCCTGAGCTCAGCTCCTTCCAGCAGGACATGGGATGTGGATACCACAAGATACCGTCTCTGTCCAAGCCTGAGTCTCAGAGGAGGCTTCACATTTGTGCTTTGAATAGCTCCTAATTACACTGCTGTAGTGGAGGGGGGTTGGACCCCCACTCCTGGAGTACCTAGAGGTATAAATCCCTGCTCTGCCACTTATGTAGCTAACCTCTTTATTTTCTCATACGTAAAATGTGTGCATCTCTCCTACAAGTTACAAAATTAAATGGGATGATAAGTAAATATGCAGGGCAAAGAGATTAGCCAGTTCCTTCATCACCATAGTCCTTCAAACAAATAAGACAGGGAATATGCAAAATACTTCAAGTTCTAGCAAATTTGCCATTTCTCTGCACAAACTTGCCATTAGATTTTTAGAGATGGACTGATATTCCAGGAGGGGCACTATTACTTAAGGCAGATGGATATTCCAGTTGGTGATAGCTCTAAGTGGCAAAACTCCACTGAGTTGGGCTCACCTGCTCTCTCTTGTCACCAATGGGGCTAATTGCCTGGCCCTGGAAGAAGTCTCCTTAGAAGTTAGTGTCCTGCTTGCTGGTCTCTGACTGCTCAGCCAAGGGAGGGAGTCCTTTACCCATAGCTATCTAGCCACTGCCCTGTCACACTAGTGAATGCCCGTGTTGATATATCTAGTAGATGTTTGTAAGTCCTCAACTGAAATCTCTGCAGCCTTTAACTGTTGAGTACTCCTTTCTTGACAAAATTACCATGACTTACATCGTATCAGTGCTCTCCCCTCTGCTGGGCCTCTGGTTGCTCTTTCTCAGTGGTCTATAAGTTCTA